AGGGTTTTCTTGGTTGAAGTCTGTATGGGAGCATATCACCAGGTTTTTCTCCCACAGAACTGCTGGGAGGATTAGAACTGCCAACCTTCCATTTAGCAGCTGAGCACTTAACCATTGTGCCATCAGGGCTCCTATAATTTGGTTAGTGTGGCAGCTATAGATATCGGTGCTTGAAGGGTGAGTGAATATGTAGAGTGGTTTGCTATGAGAAACGCTCTTTTGAGCATTTGTTAAGAGACGTGCTAACAAAAGGAGTTGATGAGATGATTTCATTCCATTCAGAATGTAAGAGGGAAGCCATGTCCCATCCTTTCTTTTTACACCCAATAAAATTCCTCTAGGTAACAAAATAAATATTTTTAGTAAAGTGATCTGCACAAGCGTCCCCTTTCCTTCTTGGCACACAGTATATCATGGTACTGTTGAGTTTTAGTGCAGTCTTTTCCACTTCTAACCATAAAAAACGGAATATTGTTATTGAGTGTGAGTATAAGTGATTACTTGAGGTACTGCAGTGAACTGAAAGCTATAATGATGAACACACTCAAGATTGGAGTGAGGGGTGTCACTACACTGGATAAGGACTTGGTATCAGATAATAAACAGAAGGGCTTCTATTCCCAAGTAAGATATATGTGCTTGGACTATATTTAATAATTGCTTTATTGAGCTATAATTCACATGCCATAAAATTCACTCTTTAGAAGTGTACAAATCAGTTGTTTTTAATATTTTTAGCATTGTTCAACCATTACTATGGTCTTATTTTAGACTATCATCATCACCCCCAAAAGAAATCCTCTAAGTGTTTGTTGTTGTTAAGTGCTGTAGAGTCGGTTCCGACCCATAGTTACCCTGCATAGGGTTTCCGAGAAGCGCCTGGTGAGGCTTGAAGTGCTGACCTTGCAGTTCAAATGACCTTACAGTCCAGCACATTAACCCACATGCCACACCAGAACTACATAAGTGTTTGTAGTCACTCCCTGTTCCACTTCCCTCTCACACCAGCCCCTGGACATCACTATCTACTTTCTGTTTCTATGAATTCTGCATATTCAGAAAATTTCATATGAATGGAATCATAAAATATGTGGTCTTTTGTTACTGTCTTCTTTTACTTAGTATAATATTTTCATGGCTTCTCCACGTGGTAGCATGTATCAGTACTTCATTCTTTTGATGACTGAATAGTGTTCCATTCTATGGATATGTCATATTTTTTTATCCGTTCATCTATTAATGGACATTTAGATTGTATCCACCATTTGGCTATTGTGAATAGTGCTGCTATTGACATTTGTGTACAAGGTATAGTGTGAACACCTGTTTTGGATTCTTAGGGTATATATCTAGAGGTGGAATTGCTGGTTCCTCTGGCATTTTAACTTGTGAAGGTTGGTTCAACTTTTATGTTGTTGTTGTTAAGTGCCATCGAGTCAGTACAGACTCATAGCGACCTTATGCTCAGCAGAATGAAACACTGCCCGTACCTGGGCCACCCTCACAGTTGAGCCCATTGATGCTGCTACTTTGTCAGTTCCTCTCACTGGGGGGTCTTCCTCTTTTTCTCTGACCCTCCACCTTACCAAACATGATATCCTTCTCCAGCAACTGCTCCCTCCTGAAAATATGTCCAAAGTATGAGAGACGAAGTTTGGCCATCCTGGCCTCCAAGGAGCACTCTGGCTGCACTTCTTGCAACAAAGATTTGTTAGTTCTTTTGGCAGCCCATGGTACTTTCAATATTCTCCTCCAACACCATAACTCAAAAGCATCAATTCTTCTATGGTCTTCCTTATTCACTGTCCAGCTTTTGCATGCATATGAGGTTATTGAAAATACCATGGCTTGGGTCAGGCGCACCTTAGTCCTTAAGCTGACATCTTTGCTCTTCAACACTTTTAAAAGATCTTGTGCAGCAGATTTGCCTAATGCAATACATTATTTGATTTCTTGACTGCTGCTTTCATGAGTGTTAATGGTTGATCCAAGAAGAATGAAGTCCTTGACAACTTCAATCTTTTCTCCGTTGATAAGAATGTTGTTTATTGGTTCAGTGGTGAGGATTTTTGTTTTCTTTACATTGAGATGTAATCCATACCAAAGGCTGTGCTCTTTGATATTCATCAGTAAATATTTTAAGTCCTCTTCACTTTCAGCAAGCAAGGTTGTATCATCTGCATATCGCAGGTTGTTAATGAGTCTTCCTCCAATCCTGATGCCAGGTTTTTCTTCATATAACCCAGCTTCTTGGATTATTTGCTCAGCATACAGGTTGAATAAGTATGGTGAAAGGATATAACCCTGTCGCACACCTTTCTTAATTTGAAACCATTCAGTGTTCCCATGTTCTGTTCGAACAACTGCCTCTTGGTCCATGTACAAAGGAAGAAGGAATGATGAACTACTTCCAAATATTGGTCACTGAAAACCTTATGAATAGCAGAGAAACAACTTTTATGGGAACTGCCAAATTGTTTTTCATAGTGACTGCACCATTTTACGAGTTGGGCTGCTAACCCAAGGTCAGCAGTTTGAAACTATCAGCTGTTTCATGGAAGAAAGATGAGGCTTTCTGCCCCTGTGAAGATTTGTAGCCTCGTAAAACCTTATGCAGGGTTGCTATGAGTTGGAACCAACTTCACAGCACATAACCAACCAATTAGCAATGTATGAGTGTTCCAAATTCTATATACTCTCACCAACACTTGCAATTTTTTGTTTTTTAGTACTAGCCATCCTAGTGGGTGTGAAGTGGTTTCTCATTGTGGTTTTAGTCTTCATTTCCCTAATGGCTAACGGTGTTGTGCATATTTTCATGCGTTTGTTGACTATTAGTGTATCTTCCTTGGAGAGACCTTTATTCAGATCCTTTGCTCATCTTTTAATTGGGTTGTTTGTCTTTTTGTTATTGAATTGTAAGAGTTCTTATCATTTCTTGCCTTCTGTTTCCTTTGGATTTAGTTTGCTCTTTTCTAATTTCTTAGGGTGGAAAATTAAGCTAGTGATTTGAGATTTTTTTTTTTTTTTTTAACATATGTGACAGGGCCTCAAAACATCATGGAAAAAATGGAATTAAAAGATAATAAATAAATAAAAAAATAGAATTTTTTCCTGAACTTTTTGAAGTCCCCTTGTATAGGCATTTATAGTAGTAGTTTTCCCTATCTAGCTTTTACTACATCTCATAAGTTTTTCTATGTTATGTTTTTATTTGCACGCATCTAAAAATATTTTCTGATTGTCTTTGTTGTACTTGGTCTTATAGTAGGGAGGTAACATTTCTGGTCCTCTAAGTCCCTGGATTTACACTTTTGGAGAGTAGTTCTTGATGAAGAGAGAAAATGAAAGTAGACACAGGTAGCGGGGGAGGAGGATGTTCCAGTTTAATCCTTAGCTTTTCCAACATAACCCTAAATCTTGTGACCTGTGTCCTTCTTAACCTGTGGTTCTCAACTGGGAGTGATTTTGCCACTAGGTAACATTTGACAATGTTTGAAAACCTTTTTGATCCCAATTGTATGTGTGTGTGTGTAAGTGCTATCATCATCTACTGAGTAGAGGTTAAGAACGATGTGAAACTTCCTACAGTGTCCAGAACAGCCCTCAGCCACCAAGAATGATCTGGTCTGGAAGTGTCAACAGTACTTCCATTGAGGGAACCCTTTTTTAACCTTTTACATTGGTGGGAGGGACTGTTTTCTGCTCATCCAACACCTACCTGTACAGTGTCTCACTCCCTCACAATGGCCTTGAGGTAGGTGTAAGGTCACAATCTGAGATGAGGTGAGCAAAACTTGAAAAGTGAAGCCACCTGTCAGTTGGCAACAGAGCCAGGACCACCACTTTCCAGGCCTGCTGTTTCCCAGAAAATCCACAGCTACCTGGGTCTTCCACCTACTCTGGCCATTCCACCTTTCCCAAATAGACCATCGTGCATTGTCTTGTGAGTAGATGGTTGACTTCTTGGCAGGCATGCAGGAGCTATTTGTTAAACTGGCTTTATGGGCTTCTTTTCACTAAGAATGCTTCACGCTGTTCTTATCCCTGTCCAATGACCCCTCTTTAGTTACAGCAGAAGCTCCTTGTGGGTGGCACAGTGATTGGCACAGAATAGGTGCTCAGTAAATTTCTGTTTAATGAATGGGAAGAAATGAAAGGAAATACACCAATATACTGACTTACTTGTCTCTGGGAGCTTAGAATGAAGGTTGCACCTGCCTCAAGAAGAAGCAGGGAAATGGGGCGACACTCTAGGACTGACATGAGAAATGAAATTGTGGATCTATACTTTTGTTCTTTTACCTATAGGATTTTAATTCTGTTATTAGTTATCATCTTGAAAATTAGTATTGCTTCTGTTAAATTCGTCACATCTCAGCCTCCTTTTCTATTTTAATTGCTCATGCTAGCACTCTTTAACCCTTATTTAAATATCAGTTTTAACCTGGCTAAAAAAATCCAGAGTCTTAGCATTTTGTTCCCTAAAGTTTTCTTCAAAAACATACTTTAAACAAAAATCTTTTCTTATGTTTGATAATACAATTTTTGTTAAATTATCCTGTCATTGTATCTTAAAATAATTAATTGGCCTTAATTTTCCCATCTATAAAATGGGATTAATGAACCTTTGTTAGCCAACTGAGACCTTTCCTGAAGATAAAATGATTTAAAGTTCAAGAAAACAGTTTGAATACCACTGTGTAATTGGAAAAGGACCTCTAGTTAGTAGATAGCTCTGAAAATTTGAGTTCATATGATTTATTAAGTAACAAGCAGTTCCATGATATTGCTAAAATCAGTTTGTTTGAAACAAAGTGCATTCAAATTTTTGTGCTCCTTATTTATAGCTTTGTTTATAGTTTCTAGTCTAAGCAAAGAAAAAACATTTTTAAAAAAAGTAATTTGTTAAAAGAAAAAAGAAACTACTTTTGAAGCTCAACTTATTTGGTCCCGTGGATTCTCCTGATGATCATAATTCGACCTTTGTTTCTCTGCAGGTGTTACAGAACATCTTGGACACTGAAAAAGAGTACGCTAAAGAACTCCAGTCTCTTCTTGTTACTTACTTAAGACCCCTGCAGTCCAATAACAAGTAAGACTTATATTTAAAACCTCTTGCTAAAAATAGAAAGATGATGTCAGCATATGGTATCATCACTCTTATGTCACTGAATAATTGATTTTGCCCTTTAGAAGAATTTCTACAGATTAGTTTGCCAAGAACATGGTCAGGGCCACAGAACATCTGAAAGATGCTGCTATGGGAGAACTTGATTCTCTCTCTCTCTTTGGGGAGGGATGGGCAGATCTGCATTTCTGCCCGTTACAACTTTTCTCATGTCCAGTCTTAAAGTGATGTATATGGTTGTACCTTAACTATAGAAGAACTCCCTGGTGTTTTTATCCTGAAAGTACATAAACTGGGAATTATGTTGACTTGACCCTTTGCTCATCAGAGTAGAGCCTCTTTCCTATGCTCTGAGAGTGGAAAGAGTGTGGCATTTTGTGTGTTTTCAGAAGAGCAATCAAAGCCAACATTTCACCCAGAGAAAGGTGAAGGATAAAGGTTTTTTAAAAACAAAAACACCAAAATATTCAAAGCTGTCCGAATCTTTGAAATTCGAAGTGATTATTTAAGACCTGAATCGAAAACTCAGTTTTCACAAAGAAAAATATCGACCGTTCATTTCGTGTGTGTGCAGCATATATTTAACAGCTAGTTGCAAACTGCATTTAAAACAAAAACAAACTAATTGATTAAACTTCACTAAAGATTTGACTGGAATCAAATATAAAGTTTAGCAGCTGGCCCATAAAATGGAGGACAAAAGCCTTAGGAAGAATTGAATTCTGTGAGACAGTTGCCTCAGCTACCAACTTCAGGCTTAAATAAGTTTAAGGTATTTTACAGTATCCCTTTTTATCTAAATCTGAGGCATTGTTGTTGTTATGTGCCCTTGAGTTGGTTTCAACCCATAGTAATCCTATGTACAAAGGCACAATTGCTGCTATGCTTGAGCCCACTTAGGCATCATGTCTTGCTGAATTTCCTGTTTCATAATTTTCATAGTTGTGTGGAAATCTTAAACCAGTTGCTGTCAAGTCAACTACTACTCATGGCGATCTCATGAGTGTCCATAGAGTTTCAATGGCTGGTTTTTCAGAAGGACATTGCCGGACCTTTCTTCTGAGGCATCTGTTGTTGTTAGGTGCCATTGAGTAGATTCCAACGTACAGTGACAAAGTGTAAAATAGAACACTGTCCGATCCTGTGCCATCCTCACAATCATTGTCGTGTTTGAGCCCATTGCTGCTGCCACTGTGTCAATCCATCTCATTAGGGGTCTTCATCTTTTTCATTGATCCTCTGCTTTTCCAAGCATGACATTCTTCTCCAGGGACTGGTTCCTCCTGACAATATGTCCCAAATATGAACGGCATCTGTGTGTGGACTTAAATCTGCAACCCTTCTGCTAGTAGCCTTGTGTGTTAACCCTCTGCACCATTGAAAACTCTATGGCACACAGTTCTCCTCTGACACCCATAGGATCACTATGACTTGAAATTGACTCCACAGCAACTAGAAACTGGAATGAGAATCTTGGGGCAATGGTAGAATTCCATGCAGGAGATCAGATTTGATCCTGGCCAAGGCACTTCATGTGTAGCCACCAGCCATCTGGCAGTGGAGGCTCCCTGTTTAGCTGTGTGACACTAAACAGGTGTCAGTGGAGCTTCTGACTTCGTCTAGTCAGACTACAGAGAAAGGCCTGGTAATCTATTTCCAAAAGCCAGATTGGATCACAGTGCAGCATTTCGTTCCATTCTACATAGATAGGGTCGTGATAAGTTGGGGGTGACTTGATGGGAGTTAACAAGATGGAGTCCTGATGTGGGCCTATAGGATAAGCACTCGACTGCAAGGTCACTTGGAAGTGCAAGGTCGGTAGTTCAAACTCACCAGTTGCTCCTCAGACACCCTATACAGGGTCCCTATGAGTCAAAACCAACTTGACGGCACTTGACAACCAACACCAACCAACAACATTGGAATCTTACTTCAGTAGAAACGAATTTTGTATTTCTGTGTTGAAAGAGTTTACACATAGTCAACAAGGAAGTGTGTTGTGTTGTTATTATTTGAAATACAAAGAGATTTTTGAGTCATAGTTCATAGAGCTGATTGAGAGTATAACCCCATTGAAGAGATAAGAAAACAGAAGTCCCGGGAGGTTTTGTGCTCATCACACTGTCAGTGGCTAGACTGGCTTCACTGTGTCTCCTGCCACCAAGTGAAATGTGTCTTCTTTTTTCCTGGAGGTGACAAGGCAGAGAAGGAGGAGAGTAACACTGGGAGGGGATATATAGTGAGATTTCCGATGGAGCAGTGGCCCATGAGCAATCTAGAAACAGTAAGGGAAAAGGAAATACCAAATCCTAGGTAGAGGTGGTGAGAGCCCTGAGCCAGACCTGCAATTCTTCCTAAATCCATTCTCAATGTTCTGACTACCTTGCAGGCCCCAATGTGATTTGAGCAAACCACACAGTTTTTTGCCTGATCTGGAAGAGACTAAGTAAACCCCCTAGTCAAAGATTCTTGATGCTGTGAGAAAACAACAGCCAGGACTGCTGGAAGTTTTGCTTTTGATACCTGAAGTAGGGGGTTTCCAGCTTATGGTTCAGAAGGCCTTCCTGATAGTATTTATTTGGGTCTTATAATAAAAGTTACCTTCTTGGAATTATTCCCTTTATAATAGTTTTATTATATTATTATTATCATTATTAAGGAGAAAGAACATGTGGCAGACACTGACCCTTTAAACAAATCTTTAGAAAATTTCCCTCACAAAAAGTGGTTAAGAGAGACTATGGACTATATCAGTTCAAATCCGGGCATTGCCATTCACTGACTTTGTGACTTTGGGTGATTTGCTTAACCTCTCAGTACTTGGGTTTCCTTACCTGTAAAATGGAGATAGCAATAAAATGGAGGCGCAGTCGCTGGAGAAGGATATCATGTTTGGTAAGGTGGAAAATCAGAGAAAAAGAGGAAGACCCCCAACAAGATGGATTGGCCAAGTGGCTGCATCGATAGACTCAAGTGTGGCAACAGTAGTGAGGTTGGCCCAGGATTGGGCAGTGTTTCGTTCTGCTGTGCATAAGGTCGCTATGGGTTGGTATCGACTTGATGGCACCTAACAACAACAACAAAGTTATTGTGAAGTTAAAATGAGTGATTATTTGTAAAATGCCTGCATCAGTGTAAGCCCTATGAATGGTGACTCTTGTTATCACTTATTGTGTGATAGGGAAACAATGGCTGAGGGCATTCTCAGTATGGAGGCTTGGGATAAAATTGTTCAGTTTACATTGATTTGACTCCATTCTGCTCCAATAATAATAATAATACAAAAATGAATACAATTTTCTGCCTTTCTACTTCCTCTCTTAAAGAAATTCCTTTAATTGATTTATAAGCATTTTAGTTTAGGAGAAACTTGATTCCCCCCCCCTTTTATATTAATATATAAGGAGCTCTGGTAGCGTAGTGGTTATGAGTAGGGCTGCTAACCTCAAGGTCAGCAGTTTGAAACTACCAGCCCTTCCGTGGGAGAAAGATGAGGCTTTCTGTTCCTGTAAAGATTTACAGCCTTGGAAACCATATGCAGGGTTGCTATGAGTCGGAACCAACTCCATAGCACACCACCATCGCTACCACCATATTAGTATATGGATCCCCGGTGTGGCACCATAGGATAAGCATTCAACCACAAGGTCTGTTTGAACTGCAAGGTTGGCAGTTCAAACTCACCAGCCACTCCTTGAAAACCCTATACAAGGTTGTTATGAGTCAGAACTGTCTCAAAGGTGCTTAACAACAGAAATAACACTAATATTAGTATATATAATGTTTCTCAATGACCTTCTCAGTTATCAAGAGGAAGTTAGTCAAAAGCTTTTTTACTTAATTTTCAAGTATAATTTTTTTTTTTTAATCTATCTTGATACTTAGGTATTAAGCAATTGCTATTCATTGCAGTAAGGTCCCTGGGTGGCACAAACCTAAAGGTTGGTGGTTCACACTACCCAACAGTGCTGTGGATTAAAGACTTGGTTATCTGCCCTATGGCACAGTTGACCTCTGTAGTACATGAGGCTGTCATGAGTTGGCATTGACTCAATGATAATGAGGTTTGGTTTGGTATTTATATAGTTTATAAAACCCCTAGATGTCCCATACAACCCACTCATTTTCTTAGGCTCATTCTTATTATTGTTGCTGTTGTTCAGTGCCATTTAGTCAGTTCTGACTCATAGCAACAGGATTGACTGGTGGATATGAACTGATGACCTTGCAGTTCAAACTGACCTTGAGGTCCAGTGCTTATCCTATTACGCCACACCAGGACTTATTATAGGAAAAAGTAAAACAAATAAAAGAAAATTAAGAAAGTTGCCTAAGACCACAAAATAGATATAAATGTTAAAATGTAAGGATTGCTTCCCTTTCCCATTTTCCAGAAGTTAGCCAACTGTTAGCTAACTGGACTAGAGGTAGATAACTAGAATCGTCCTCAAACACTGTTCATAGAGACTAGATTTTTTTTTTTTTTTTTTTACAGTCTGAGTACTGTGGAGTTTACATCTTTATTGGGAAACTTTGAAGAAATATGCACATTTCAACAGACACTCTGCCAAGCCTTGGAAGACTGTTCCAAGTAAGTGTTCCATTTTGCTATTAGGGTAACCAGAAACATTTTTGTTGTTGTTGTTGTCTTTTAGGCCACTGTCTTAAGCAATGACATTTGACAGAAATGTACTTGTTATATGGTTGCTACATTGTCCAAGAACAAAGTCACAATACAGAGAAAATGCACTAGGTGGTGGTGGCCACAGTGTCAAAGCACTAGTCATATATCAGGGTTCTACATCCAGTAATTTCTAACATCATTGAAAAATCATGTTTTTTTTCTTCTGGTCAATATGAGAGACACACAAAATCTTAATTGATCACGGAGGCCATCTTTGACATTGGCTAGGTACATTGTAAATTATTGGAAAAAGCCATTCAGATTAATCATTCTGTTTCATAAGCTTGTTATTCTCTTATTAATTATTCCTTACATCATGTCTATTATAGTTAAAATACATAGAAAGTATAGGAAGGGAAAACATACCTTTCTGCCAACCATATCACACATTTGTAGCTAACTAGATTGTTGAGGTGTGTACATATATCCTAGAGAGTGAACTACAATGATCATCAAAAAGTATATTTTTATAGAAAAATTAATTCTCCAAGATGATTATCTTGGGAAAGTTGGTCACTTTCATTATCTATAGGGAAATGGAGGTTTCTTGAGCCTTGAGGGGTACAAGTGGATGTCCAGGGAGAAAGGGGGAGAAAATCCATACTGAATGATACTTTAGAGTCACTTCACATGCTGAGAGGGATCTAGATTATTAATCTCAACTTGTGTTCAAGTGAGAAAGGTAGTTTGTGACTAGAATTCCATTTTGTAGATAAACACATAGAAAAAAAGTCCAAGGAATATGCCAAACTTGTTATGATAGCTATCTCTGAGTGGTGGGATTCTAAGTGATAGTTTTTTCTTCTTTCTTGTGCTTAAAAAAATTTTTTTTACAATGAAAATGAGTCATTTTTAATTTAAAGAAGCAAATAAAAACAAAGCCAAAAAAGCCTTGAAGCTATCCTTGCTAGCAACTACCAAGCCATCAAGACGCCTTGTGACGTGCCCTTTTTTAAAAAGTCAAGAATATTTTCAGTGCACATAGCTAAATTTGAATATAAAAATCTGAAACAAAACAAAACAGAACAACTCTGCCTACTAAGTCAAAAATAGTTTCTGACCCTACCTATGCTTGGTGACCAGTTTCCAGCAGTGTTCAAAACCTTGAATTTTCTTGACAAAATAGTTTTTACAGTTTCTCTTTGAAATTTGGCAAATAATTCAAATTATTTTTATGTTACCAAGTTTACCCTTTGTTTCTTATTTTATGTTCTGTGTTTTATTTGTTTTCCATGCAGATTTCCTGAAAACCAACACAAAATAGGAGGTTGTCTCCTGAACCTCATGCCTCATTTTAAATCCATGTACCTGGCTTACTGTGCAAATCATCCTTCAGCAGTAAACGTACTCACAAAGCACAGGTAAATCATAAACATTTCCCTAGTTCTACTACTTCACATTCAGGCCCTTTCTTAGTACCACCTCATTTGGATATCCAAGGCTTTTGATTATTCCTATTCAAGAATTCATTAATTGTTGCATAGGTACTTGGTTCATTAATCCAACAAATAATCTGTTGAATATCTACTTTGTGTCGGGTCCTATGCTAGCTCACGAGGATAGAGTAATGAGCAAAGAAGACAAGTTCCCGTCTCTCATAGAAGGAAATATAGAGATGAAATAAAATGCTCTAGACTTGTTGCGCTTGCTACAAAACGGCAAGATGTGAGACTGCAATGGGTTATGCGCCTTGTCGGAGTGGGCCAGTGGAAAATCTTTCTTGAAGTGAAACTTTATTTAAAGGCAATGGCTTAACATCGCCCCTATTCCCAGTGACTATTGGGTCTGAATTGCTAAAAATAATTCACCTGCATTGTTCATGTCTTTCCAGTGGTTGTTGTTTTAATCTCGTAGAGGGTCATGACTGATATTCGTAGGGAAAGGGGAAAGAAAGTTAAACTTACTATGAACTATCTGCTACTTTAAGTAAAAAGCTCAAATAATACTTTGTCTTCTAAATTTTATTTTGCTGTTGTTCCTGAGAATATATACAGCAAAGTATACACCAGTTCAATTGTTTGTATGTGGACTCATGTTCTTTGAGTTGTACAACCACCCTCATCTTCCTTCTCTGAGTTGTTCTTTCCACATGAACATAAACTCACTGCACCCTAAAGTCCCTATCTAATCCTTTTAGTTGCTATTGCCTGGTGTTTGTTTTTTAAACTTTTTACTGTGAATTGAGTGAAGGTTTACAGAACAGATCATCAGTCCCACATTCAAAAAACCATACACTTAGTGTCATTACAGTGATTGCAATCCCTTCTATGGACCATCAGTTAACAGTTGTTGTTGTTAAGTGCTGTCGAGTTGATTCTGGCCCATAGCGACCCTGTACGGGGTTTCTGAGGCTGTAAATCTTTACGGGAGCAGAATGTATCATCTTTCTCCTGCCGAACAGCTAGTAGTTTCGAACTGCTGACCTTAAGGTTCATAGCCCGATTCGTAACCACTACGCTACCAGAGCTCTGGTATTGGCCTCTATTCACTTGAACTCTTGCACTCCTCCCTGTGTCTCCCACGACCTCCATCTTTCCTGTGCCGACCTCCATCTTGTTGTATATTGCTTGCGCATCAACCAAATTAACATGGGTCAATTTGTGTCAGTGTGATATTATATAGATCTTAAAAGAGCATAATGCTCAAGGAAGACTTTTTTTTTTTAACTAGTTAAGCCAAATAATTGTTTCATTTTACGAAGACTTCAGGGACTATTTTTGGTTTAAAATTTAAAAATGATCTCAATGCAATAGATTCAAAGGTCCGTCTACCCTCCATGACTCCAGAAAGTCCAGAAGAATTTGAAATTCTGGTCAACAACATTTTCCCTCTTTTGATTAGGATTTTTTGATCAAAATGTTCAGTAGTGGTGGCCAGGCACCATCCAGTTTATTCGTCTCATGGTTCATGGAGACAATTATCCACAAATTCTACATTTTCCTCCTATTCCTGACTCCTTCATCTGGTGCTCCAGGTTAATAGAGACCAATTTTTGTGTCTTGGATGGTCTCTTGCAAGTTCTTAAGACCACGTGTACTGCACAACAAATTAAGAGGTAGAACAGAAACACTAAACATGCTACTAGGCCAAGTAACTGGGATTTCACATGAAATCATGATCCTAAACCTCCAAACAAAGAAACCAAATCCCTGGAGACTTGAGCAGCCTTAGCAGCTACTCTGTTGGCTGTTGTTGTTGTTATAAGTATACCTATCACATAACGTTTGCATAGTCAACCTTATACAGGTGTGCAACTTATTGACAGCAATTACAATAATTGATTGTGCAACCTTATCCTTAATCAATGCAATTTTCCCATTTCCAGTAGCCCTCTTTCCCCCGCTCCCTTCCACTTCGGATACTCACTAATAAACTTTGATTTCTATACATTTGCCTTTTCTTATTATGTAAGTGAGTATTAGTGTTTGTCCTTTGTGATTGTCTTATTTCACTTAGTATAATGTCTTCATTATACTAAGAGCTCTGGTAGTGTAGTGGTTATGAGATGGGCTGCTAACCTCAAGGTCAGCAGTTCTATACTACCAGCAGCTCCGTGGGAGAAAGAAGAGACTTTCTGCTCCCGTAAAGATTTACAGCCTCGGAAACCCTGTACAGGGTCGCTATGGTTCAGAAATGACTCAATGGCACTTAACAAAACACAAAATGTCTTCAAGCTCCATCCATATTGCAGCAAGACTTCATTTCTCCTACTAGCTAAGTAGTATTCCATTGTATATGCATATTACCATATTTTGTTTATTCATTCATCTTCTGATGGGCATTTAAGATGCTCCCATTTTTTGGCTATTGTGAATAGTGCTTCAATGAACATTGGTGTACAAGTTTCTGCTTGAGGCTCTGGTTTGAAGTCTTTTGGATACATACCTAGGAGTGGACTTCTTGGTCCTATGGTAGTTCTATTTTCAGTTTTTTGAGAAACCGCTACACTGTTTTCCACATTGACTGCATGATTTTGCATTCCCAATAGCAAAGGATAAGGGTTCCAATTTCTCCACATCCTCCACAACATTAGTTATTTTCTGTTGTTTGTTTGTTTATTTATTTATATCTTAACCATCCTAGTTGGAGTGAAATGATATCTCATTGTGGTTTTTATTTACATGTTTCTGATGACTTTTTATGTGTTTGGTGGCAATTTGAATGTCCTTTTTGCTGAAATATCTATTCAAGTCCTTTCTTCATTTTATGATTGGGCTATTTGACTTTTTGTTATTAAACTGTAGATATTACATACATACATATATATATATGGTGGTGGTTGTGTGCTGTTATTAGAATCTTGTCAGATATATGATTTCTAAAGATACTATCCCAGTTGGTAGCTCACTTTATTGGATAGGTCTTCTGATGTGCAAAGCTTTAAATATTTATGATATCCCATTTCTTTATTTTGCTTTTGGCTGTTAGTGCTTTTGTAATTATATTAGGTAAGCCATTATTGAAAGCTAAGCCTGACAAGGATGCCCCTGTTTATTTTAAGAATTTTATGGTGTTAGTTTGTGCATGTAGGTCCTAAATCCATTTTGAATTTGCTTTTGTGTATGGTGTGAGGTAAGGATTCTGTTTCATTTTTGTTCATGTGGAAACTCAATTTTCCCAGCACCATTTATTGAAGAGGGAGCCCTGGTGGTGCTGTAGGACAAGCACAGGACTGCTAACTACAAGGTCAACAACAGTGTAAACCCACTAACTTCTCTGTGGGAGAAAGATGAGTCTTTCTGCTCCCATAAATATGTACAGCCTAGGATCCTATACAGGGTCGTTATGTGTTAGAATGGACTTGGTGGCAGTGGGTTTGGTGATTTATTAAAGAGACTCCTTTTCTCCTTTGAAAGGACTTAGCACCCTTGTTAAAAAAAAAAAAAAAATTGACTGTAAGATGTATAGGTTTATTTCTGAACCTTCAATTCTAGTCCATTGGTCTCTTTTTCTGTTGTTGTTATACCAGTACCAGACTGTTTTGATTACTCTAGCTTTATAGTATGTTTTAAAATCAGTAAGTGTGAGTACTCTTACTTTGGTATTCTCCTTCAACATTGTTTCAGCTATTTGGTGCCTCTTGCCATTTCATCTAAAGTTGAGAATTGATTTACTCTATTTTTGTAAAGAAGGCTGTTGGAATTTTGATGGAGATTGCATTGAATTTATAGATGGCTTTGGATAGAATTGACAACTTAACAATGTGGAGCCTTCCAATCCATGAACATGGAACATCTTTCCTTTTATTGAAGTCATCTTTAATTTCTTTCAGCAGTATTTATAGTTTCCATTAAGTCCTTTATGTCCCAGATTAGATTTTTTCTCTTGGTGTTTTATTCTTTTAGATGGTATTATAAATGGAATTATTTTCCTAATTTCCTTTTCAGAGTTCTCATTGCTGACATATAGAAATACACCTGAGTTTTGTTTGTTGTCTTTGTACCCTGTTGTTGATGTTGTTAGATGCCATTGGGTC